TCACTAGCAGGAATATTGCAATGGACGACCTTATGTTTTTTCATTGCCTCCTGTGATGGGAAATATTTACCGCAGAAACATATTCTCTTGGAAATTCTCCCAGCCACCGATGGACAATAGAGATCAAAAGGCATGCTACTGTAACTGTGATCGGGCTCCAGACCAATCAGTGCAAGCCTCTGGAACAGTGATCCATAATTACCACTACTACTACCAATAGCTGCAGCCATGACGCCTGCATCATGACTAATAAAAGGTACCGGAGCTGGAATGAAGCGTTTGGGAAATAGTTCATTACAGTTGGTTCGTCTTGCTCCACAGCATGTTACATCATTACATTTGATGATATTGAGACTTGCACATGATTCCAACACCAATTCACAGAGGGAGACGGAAGATTTGTGCTTGTGCTGCTTGGTTCAACATACTGTGCATGCACATTATAGCCATCAATGACAGCCTGACCCCTAACTTCAGCGAGTATTTCCCCTGCATTTTTAAAGTTTGCTTTTTCAAAGTTTTGGTCTATAGTTTTACCATTTGTGTTCAAGTGGGATCCAAAATGATCATGGGGAAGAATGAGGCCTGACAGGTCATGAGGCAAAGGGGCCATTCGTCGTTCTACCGCATTGTAGTACCGCATTGTAGGCACTGTGACCCGGAGCATTACACGCTATAAAGAAAGCATCAAGATTGTGCTTGGTAAACAATTTATAGGCAGCATTCAATGTTTTTGGATAACGTGGGTTCTCGTATGGGCTTCCATCAACGGTAATAATTGCTATAGGCTTTACTAGTCCACCATTTGTACATGCCATATTCTTAAAAATATCAAGAGAGACAAGTACATCAAAATCTGCAACATGTGATGCAGCAGTACTGGAATCATGTTAACCACTCCTTATTGATATGGATGTTGGTCCGGAATAGGTCACAACGACCATCCTTGATAATACATGCAGCATAAACTGAAATTTGTTTTTTAGATTAAGATTGTATTTTTAAATTTAAATATATTTTTACATTTTTTAGGAAAATAATTTGTTGTCCTATATCTAATTTTTTAATAAATAATACATGCAGCATAAACTGAAATTTGTTTTTTAGATTAAGATTGTATTTTTAAATTTAAATATATTTTTACATTTTTTAGGAAAATAATTTGTTGTCCTATATCTAATTTTTTAATAAAAAATAAGTCAAATTCAAATATTCCAGTCATTTTTAACCCCAACACAAAATAAAAATCATTAAAGATTTTCTGGAAAAACTCTAAGAATTTAACAAAACTGTTATTTGAGATTGTATTGTATTTGACAAATCAAACTTTAACAACATATTTTTAAAATAATATTCAAGCGTATTAATTATTAATATTGAAAAAATCGTTTCTAAATTTAACCACTCAGTTTGTGAAAGATTTGTTTGGGTTTGCATCCCAACTCTTTTGTCATTAAACTGGAAGTTTTTAGCAGTAAATTTATGCAAAACTGCTGCACTCAAAAAAACACTACAATGTGGACATCCACTTTGTCCTAAACCCCCCCCCCCTTTGTCCACTTTAGTACACTTTTTGCTGAACCCCCCCTCCCCCCTTTTGTGTGGACGTCTTTTATGGATGACCCCTAACAGCTAAACTGCCTAAATTCTAACTGCTCACTGCTGCACTTCAAAATAAAATTCATTACAATTGGATTGACTTGTAATCAAGATAATTTGTGTTTCTCTGTTTAGAAGTATTGTAACACATGTGCCAGGCAAAATTTTATATATTAAAAAATGTTAAAAATTCATCATGTGTAAACCTTGAAGTTGACTATCTCTTAGTGTATAACTTGGGTGGGACACATTGGGACTTTCAAACTGCAATCTAAAGAAGTTTTACTGAAAGTGTTATAATGTGTTAGAATATTCTACATAAAACTGTGTCTGACATTTCATTTTTATGCTAAGCAGGTCATTAATTGTTTTCTATACTGGTTAAACACATTAAAGGGGGGGGGGGGGGGGCATTAATTGTGTAACATAAGATTCTTTGATTCCACAGCACACTACAAAAAACTTCACACACAATCTTGGCATGCCCTACTCCATTTTGTTTCTGTGGCCATCTCTGTATTAAATATTTGTACAAATCTTAAAAACATTGTTTTTTTATGTTAATAAATAATTAAAAATCTCTCTGTGTAAAATATTACATGCCTTACACTTATGGTGCAGCCAAACTGCTAGGTTAAGCTGTTTTAAACAATTTAAAAAGATTTCTTCTGCATATGTGTATAATAGTTAATCACATGTGAAGTTATCTTCACACATTTCTACCCCTGACTTGTTATTCAATAACTTGAAATTTTATGCAATAACCTCCCCTTATTTATATTAAAAAAATTGTTGACTTCACACTGGGTTGAGTTTAGGGACTTTATATCAATAACTCGAATATCCTTAACATTTTACCTGACATACCGGCTATCATCAACATGCTTAAGATAAGTTTATCTCAAATTTTGACGTTGGATTGACCTGATTTCTAGTTTTAGAGTTTTAGTTATTGTATGGTTTTAAGTGGGATTGATTGTCATATCTTTATTCTAGAAATAAATTCCTCTTCTCTGTGTAATGTCACACAATATTTCTTTATTTATACAGGGCTGTGTAATGTCACACAATATTTCTTTATTTATACAGGGCTGTGTAATGTAACAAACAATATTTCTTTATTTATACAGGGCTATGTAATGTCACACAATATTTCTTTATTTATACAGGGCTGTGTAATGTAACAAACAATATTTATTGATTCAGGGATCATATTCACATTACTCACATGTTGAAAAAAAAATCTACATAATCCATAAGCTAAGTTATTGTAATGGTTCTACACTGAATGGGCAGTTGATGACAATGTTAAATACTTTTTGTTGTTTTAGCTTGATAATAACATGGGTGGTTCGACTCTTCAAAATAAGACTTATCAAATTAGGGTGTGAGAGTGAGAAAAAAAAAAAAAAAAAAAAAATAAAAACTGCTGAACATATCGACCTACACAGCAGAAGGAGTTGTTTTTTGTTTGTTTTTTTAATTAGGACACATAAATTGAATATTCACCACAGCAGTTGCCTCCCCTTGGTGTTATCTTTAACGTTAATGACTTTAATGATTTTCTTACCCTCACTCTTATCTAACACGTTAATTGGACGAAAAAGGGGAGGAAAGAAGTGTTACTTTCGGGGGTGGGGGGGGAGGGAGTGGGTTTGAATAGAATTCACTTGGAGCTCGCATGAATAATAGACGCAGGAAGTTCGGCACAAACCTGATCCAAGCATTTCTTAAGTCCAACAACTTCAAGTAGATTAAGGAGACACAATTTATGTAAATAAAATAATACAGGTTACGCTGTAATAATGGTTAATTACACAGAATACACATTTTGCAAATGTTTTAAGGCAAATGCCTTCATCAGTACAACAAAAAGAAAACCAAAAAAAAATCGTAATATAAGTATCAGTTAAATTTATATTATATATATATATATACGGTTTAATATGTGTGTGTATCCTGCCTCAAAAGAAAACGAATCAGTATGGGCACCAGTCCATGACAAAGCTCAGAAGAACGACAAGGAATTTTATACGGTACAGCAGGTTCGGGTTTTAGGGTTCCTGTGAATGAGCGAATTAACTACAAAATTCTGCCCCTGGCGTACAGCTGCATAGATGGCTCAGCACCGGAATATCTCCAGGAACTGTTTTATAAACATGTATCCGTGAAGAGCCTGCGGTCTTCATCACAGTACTTGCTGAGTGTTCCTAGTGTGGATAAACACAGAAAAAAGTCGTACGGAATGCGCTCTTTTGAAGCGATAGCGCCAAAATTATGGAACAGTTTGCCTCAATCTTTGAGGGGAATTGTAAATGATAACAAAATCATGTAAGAAACAATTAAAAACTCTTCTGTTTAAATAGATTTCGGAGGACCAGACCGCATTGAGCATGCTAAAATGGCATTGGATACCAGCGCGATAGAAATATCAATCAAAAAAAAAAAAAAAATCAATTCTGGTGTGAAATTCTAAAGTTCTAGTGCAAGGCGTGTCAAAGTTGAATTTGGAGATGAGGACAACAAAAATAAAATTTGGAAACTCCAAAAATGAAAACAAAATCATGTAAGAAACAATTAAAAACTTTTCTGTTTAAAAAGATTTCGGAGGACCAGACCGCATTGAGCATGCTAAAAAGGCATTGGATACCAGCGCGATAGAAATATCAATCAAAAAAAAAAAAAAAAATCAATTCTGGTGTGAAATTCTAAAGTTCTAGTGCAAGGCGTGTCAAAGTTGAATTTGGAGATGAGGACAACAAAAATAAAATTTGGAAACTCCAGCAGGGGGTGGATTAACCTAAAAGGACGGTGCGCGTGATTTTAGGGTCCCATAGCAAAGCATGCAAATATTTTATTGAAAAGATAATTATATCTTGAGTGTTCGTGAAATGACGCAATTTACAATAGTGAGTGCCGTCTCAGACGTGTCCATACATTACAAGGGAGGAAAAAATAAGGGAAACAACTCTCGCCATAAACTTTTTTCTAGGACGTTAATCACCAAAGAGGGTGAAAAAAAAAGGGGGGGGGGCTTTTGACTTAATTATCGTTAATTAATTAGTTCTTTTTAATTTACTTTTCGGCAGAGCAGCTATCGGCCTTATGAATCTGGTTTAAAATCTTTTATCGGCTTTCACAATGCGTTCACAACCCCCCCCCCC